ATAATCCTTCTACTTGTTTTGCAAATGACAGTTTTTCAGACGAGACGTTAAAAGGATACAGCTGTTTTTCAGAAAATGACCCTTTTTGCATATAGGTAAATACCATAGGCACTATAATGGAATGGCACAACAAATTAGCCCATCAGAATTTTAAATACTTAAGACAATTTCTAAAAGAAAACAACATTGAGTTTATTGAATGTGAAGACATTATCTGTGAAGCCTGTCTTGCAGGAAAGCAACATCGTTTTAGTTTTGAAAGTAGCAGTTCAAGAGGTACTGCACCCTTGGAATTAGTGCATTCAGATCTATGTGGACCTATGGAAACAACATCACTAGGTGGTTCACGCTATTTTTTTCTTTTTAAGGATGATTTTTCCGCATATAGATATGTGTACTTTTTGCAAAATAAATCAGAGGTTAAAACATACTTAGAAAAGTTTATTAACTTAGCAGAACGTGAAACTGGCTATAAATTGAAAGTTCTAAGGACAGATAATGGGCTAGAGTTTATAAATAGAGAAGTAACAGACATATTGGAAAGAAAAGGAATAAGACACCAAAGGACTATAGCATACACCACACAGCAAAATGGTAGAGCCGAAAGGGAAAATAGAACACTTGTAGAAGCTGCTCGAACACTTCTAAGCAGTACTGACAAACTAGATAAGACTTTTTGGGCTGAAACGATAAATACAGTCACATACATCTTAAATAGAACAGGTCCAAGCCCTCAAAAGGCAGATAGTCCCTACAAGCTATGGCATAAAAAGGATATCAAGCTATATGACTTTAAAATTTTTGCAAGCAATGTTTCTATACATGTTCCCAAGGAAAAAAGGCTGAAATGGGATATAAAAAATAAACAAGGTATCTTTTTAGGATATGGAGAAGATACGAAAGGATATAGGGTGTTTATTCCAGAGAAAAATAAGGTAGAGATACACCGTGATGTGATATTTTTGCCAGATAAGAAAAATATGACAGAAAAGCTACAAGAAATTGAAATAATACCAGAAGAAATTAAAACTGAAACCGAAACAGAAGAAAACAGACACGATGAAGAAAATATAAATGAAGTGTCTCCTGAAAATAGTGACAATGAGACAAGTAACAGTGACTATGAGGACACAGGAAGTGATGACTCTTTAGTGAACAATGAAATAGTGATCAGATAACAGACAAGATATGCTTTAAGAAGAGAAAGAAGACCGAATCCAAGATTTGAAGATTATGAAATGGACATAGACAGAGTGTTAGTGTCAATCAGAAATGAAGATGAACCAAACTGTTATAAAGAAGCAATGACAAGTAGTGAAAGTGAGAAATGGAAAAAGGCAATGGAACAGGAGATAAGTGCTCTAAATGACAATGATACGTGGACTATTGTGTGTGAAAATAGTAAGGACTTTAAGAAACCTGTAATTCAATGTAAATGGGTATATAAAAAGAAGAAAGATGAAGTGGGTAATACTTCTAGATTCAAAGCTAGATTAGTGGCAAGGGGTTTTCAACAAACAAGTATGTATAACAATGACATTTACAGCCCTGTCGCAAAACTACCCTCTGTAAGAGTCTTTTTGGCTATGTGCAATCATTTTAATTTTAAGATACATCAGTTAGATGTTTGCAGTGTCTTTTTAAATGGTTATATAACTGATGAGGTATATATCATTTTGCCACAAGGTTTTGATAAAGATGAAGGTAAAATTGCAAGTTTAAAAAGATCCTTATCATTATTAATCATCACCAAAAAATTGGTATATAAGGTTCAATGATTTAATGTTGTCTTTAAATTTTAAAAGGTCAGAAAATGAATATTGTATTTACATTAAGATAACTGAGTTTTCAAAGGTTTTTATATTTATATATGTTGATGATCTTTTATTAGCTGGTTCAGATGAGACTGAAATTTCTAAAATAAAGATGATTTTGAATGGGAATTTTAAGATGAAAGATATGGGCTGCATAAGATACTTTTTGGGTATGGTAATAACACAAAACTTGTCGAGAAATGAAATAACAATTAATCAAACTACTTACCTAAAGAATGTCTTAAAACGTTTTGATTTACAAAATTGTAAAACTTCTAATATTCCAATGGATATAAATTTTAAACACGATGATTTGAAATTGAGTAAATCTGAGAGTGTAGAAATTGAAAATAAGTGCCGGAGAGCTATAGGCTCACTGATGTACGCAATGTTGTGCTCAAGGCCTGACTTATGTATATCTATCAGCATTTTAAGTAGGTATCAGTCATCAGCAAGCCTAGGGCTCTGGCAGTCAATTAAAAAAGTTTTAAGGTATGTTCAGAAAACAATCGATTTAAGTTTAGTTTTTAATAAAACAGATTTCAGAAACATAATTGAAGGCTATGCAGATTCAGACTGGGCTGGAGACAGACTAGATAGAAAATCAACGTCTGGTTATATTTTTAAAGTTTTTGGCTGCACAGTAAGCTGGTGTTCAAAGAAACAATCTACTGTTGCTCTGTCCTCGACCGAGGCTGAATATGTTGGACTAAGTGTAGCTATAAGTGAAGCATGCTGGCCTCGTTATTTAATAATTGATTTTAAAATTACAGATGATTGTATTGTATTGTTATATGAAGACAATCAGTCTGCCATAAAGGTTTGTAAGAATCCAGAGTTTCACTCAGAGTTTCACTCAGTTCAGAGTGTAAAATTATTGTTTTATTTTTTTTTAATTTAAACACAAATTTACCATTGAGGGGGGGTGTTAGAGATTTATGTATTTGTATTCTTTAAGTTTAAGTTGGTGACAATGGTAAATTTAGTACTTAGTGATTTTGACTTTAGGTTGGTACTAAATATAACCAAGAAGATGCTCTCTGTTATAAAATAAAAGTTAGCGGGTTTATATTTTATGTTGATGTATTTTCAAGTTAATTTAAAAACAAATAAATAAATATTAAACTAAACCAGTTTCCGGTTTTCTTTGGACCACGGCAATAATACCCACAAGAATTATGATACAATTAACTCAGTTAAATCGAAAAAACATATTTATTGTTTATATTCAGATGTGACTATATAAACATTCAGTTACTGTTGAAATCAATAGAATATAATAATTATATTTTAACAAAATTATCAGAATTCCAAGAACGAGAATAGAAAAAAAATAAAAATAGAATGAAAATAGTTTTAATATAAAATCGAAAAAGTGTCAAAAACATGAAAGGTTGGGAACTTTATGAAATTCTTCAACTTAAAGTAAATATAAATAAATTTATACCTATTACTGCAGGTTTTTCTACATTTGTTAATACACCTAAATTTATATACAAAACGGAATCTGTAATAAACATAAAAAATAATGATGAATATTGTTTTCTTTGGTCAATAGTTGCATATTTAAATCCTGTTTCGATTCATTCTAATCGTGTTTCATCCTATCCTCATTTTAGTGAAATAACCTATAGAAAAGATAAAAGAAAATTAAGCTATGAAAAGTTTCAATTTCCTATGCATTTAAAGGATATATATTCCAAAATTTGAAAAAAGTAATGAAATTTCTATAAGCGTTTTCAGCTATCAAAAAAACGAAATTTTTCCTTTAGCTTTAAGTAAAAATGACTTTTCTATTAAAATAAATTTACTACTATTACCAAACCATTCTGATATTGAGGATGTGAATAGTAGTGATGATGATGATAATGAAACTGAATGTTTTAAACAAGAAACATATCATTTTGCTCTTATTAAAAATTTATCTCGATTACTTCATAAACAGTTACCTAATCGAAAGAATAAATCATGGTTATGTAAACGCTGTTTAAATTCATTTATATCACAAACAATTTTGGAAAAGCATTCAGTTGTAAAAAAATTAATACATTTCAAGTTATTGTTCCCAACGAAAAAGAAAAAATATTAAAAATTTCAAAATTTAAGTATAAGGAAAGTGTTCCTTTTGTTATTTATGCTGACTTGGAATGTATTCTTTTCGATGTGAAAAATGAAAATAGTTTTAATATAAAATCGAAAAAGTGTCAAAAACATGAACCATTTATGCCCACTTGCACCGTTTGTATAAATAAACTTTGTTTAAAGGCTAAACAGTGATTAACTATAATAAAATATGTATAGTTAATCACTGTTTAGCCTTTAAACAAAGTTTATACAAACGGTGCAAGTGGGCATTAGTATTGCATACTATTTAAAATGTTCATATAATGATGAACTTTCACGTTTTAATCTGTACACTGGTAAAGATTGCATAAATTGGTTTATTAATGAACTAAATACTATAGCGTTAGGTGTGCATAATATTCTTTGTAACATTATTCCAATGAAACCTCTTACACATGCACAATACCAATATATTCAAAGCTGTAAGAGTGTCACATTTGTTTGAAACCGTTTAATAAAAATGATACAATTATTAAGGATCATTCACATTTTACGGGTGAATTTCGAGGTCTCGCTCATTCTCACTGCAATATTAATTATCAGGATTCTCATCTCTGTTATCTTTCATAATCTCTCAGGCTATGATAGTCACTTCCTGATAAGGGCTTTAGCTACTCAGATTAAGGGAAACATGAGTCTTTTACCATTAAACAAAGAACAATACATTTCCTTTACAAAATACATTCACAACACAAAAGTTAATTTTAGATTTTTAGATTCGTTTCGTTTTATGGCTAGTAGTCTCGATAAATTAGCATCTTATCTAGTAGATAATCAAAAAGAAATTATTCTAAAATATTATCCAAAGCATGCAGAGTTCCAATGGTTGTCACGTAAAGGAGTTTTTCCTTATGAATACCTAAATAATTGGGAAAAATTACAAGACATTGAATTGCCTGCAAAAGATTAATTTTATAGTTCTCTTAATAAAACAAATATTTCTATATATAAGAGGATTATCAGCATGCAAAACTAGTGTGGAACACGTTTACCATTAAAAATCTACAAGAATATGCAGAATTATACTTAAAAACCGATGTTTTGTTACTTGTTGATATTTTTGAAAATTTTAGAATTACATGTATGAAGACCTATGGATTATGTGCTCTTAATTTTTTTACCGCACCTGGATTAGCTTTCCAATCTATGCTGAAAATTAGTAATATAGAGCTTGAATTGTTAACTGACATTGATATGATTATGTTTATTGAACAAGGTATACGAGGGGGTGTTTCACAATGTTCTAATCGATATGCAAAAGCAAATAATAAATATATGGAAAACCAATTTGATGACAATGAACCTTCATCATATCTTATGTATTATGATGTTAATAATTTATATGGAGCAGCTATGTCTATGCCTCTGCCTCAATCACATTTTGAATGGGTTCAAGATATATATGAGTTACCAAATATAATAGATATTCCTGAAAATAGTGACATTGGTTATATCTTTGAAGTTGATCTTACTTATCCTCAAGAACTTTTTGATTATCACAAAGATTTACCATTATGTCCGGAAAGGAGAATACCTGCTGGTTCAAAGATTCCTAAATTACTTACAACTCTATATAATAAGGAAAAATATATCATTCACTATCGTAATTTACAACAAGCCGTTAGTTTAGGATTAAAAATAACAAAAATTCATAGAGTTTTAAAATTTAAACAGTCTTGTTGGTTAAAGTCTTACATTGATTTAAATACAGCATTGCGAAAAAATAGTAAAAACGAATTTGAAAAAAACTTTTACAAACTGATGAACAATGCTGTATTTGGTAAGACTATGGAGAATGTTCGTAAATATAAAGATATTAAACTTGTAACGAAATGGTCAGAAAGGTATGGAGCTAAATACTATATTTCACAACCAAATTTTCATAGTTGTACCATTTTTGATCAGGACATGGTAATAATCGAAATGAAACGTGTAAAAGTTAAATTTGATAAACCAATTTATGTAGGATTTTCCATTTTAGATTTATCTAAGACTTTTATATACGATTTTCATTATAACTATATTCAAAACAAATTTGGAGAAAAAGCAAAATTATTATATACTGATACTGATTCTCTCATCTACCATTTTTTTGTGAACGATATTTATTACTCAATTCAGCAAGACATTCATAAATTTGATACATCAGACTATCCTCCTAATAATGTGTATAATATACCACAAAAAAACAAAAAAATATTAGGTCTTATGAAAGATGAAAATAATGGGAAAATAATGACTGAATTTATTGGTTTACGATCTAAACTGTACACTTTTAGAACTCAAGCACATAGTTGTGAAAATTTAAATGTTAGTAAAAAAGCTAAGGGTATAAAGTCATCTTCACTTAAAGCTATAACTTTTGACGATTTTTATCAATGTCTTTTTAATAATTCCACTCTTGAAACTGAACAACATTTAATTCAATCAAAAAAACATCAAGTGTATACTATAGCCCAAAGAAAAATAGCTCTATCTCCGAATGATGATAAAAGAATTATTAATTATTTGTATACAGATACAAAACCATCGAGTTGGGAACTAAGGGGAAACATTTAGAAAATCTTTAGATTTTATTTATTTGTTATAAAACCTCTCATTTTTTGAAAACATAGTTAAATGATGATGATGAAATATTGATGATGGAAAAGAGAAAATGCTTGAAATATGTAAAAGCAATTCCAGGAGCCTTTACTCCTACCAAAGGATCTCCTAGAGCTGCAGGATTTGATTTAAGGAGTGTCTACAGTATAACCGTACCTGCAAGGGATAAGGCGCTCATAAATATAGGTCTGAAATTTGAATTGCCTTCAGGATGCTATGGAAGAATAGCACCTAGATCAGGATTTGCTTCAAAAAACAGCATCAATGTTGACCGGCGTGAAGATAGTCACGGTTTTCCATCCACGGTTTCAGAAAAATCCCAACCATAGTAAACATATGGCAACGACGCTTTTCGTCCGATTTCAGCCACATCCACGGTTTTCGGTGTCGATACGCCTCAATTAAAATATATATACAGCGACACTTTTCTGTTGTTACAAATATTATTAAAGATTTAGAAGAATTATATAATAAGTTAATAGAAATGGTCGAGTTTATATTTATATATAATGAACAATTATTTATGAGAGATAGATTTAACTTTAAAAATCCTCTTAAAAATTTAAATACTATCTAGTTCTTAGCAAAATTCGATACTAATTTATTAAAGGTTGTGCCACAGCGAGACCCTTTGGAAAAGATGTATAGGCGACTAGGGTACACTACCCTATACTCAAAACCATTTGCCGGTCTTTAGGGAAAGGGCCAGATTCAAAAAACCGATATTTTACATAAAATTAGACAGAAAAAAAATCGCCACCAATTTGTTAAGGGTTGTGCCACAACGAGGCCATCTGGAAACGATGTACAGATGACAAGGGTACACCACCCCGTATTCAAAATCATTTGCCGGTCCGTAGGAAAAGGGCCAAGTTCAAAAAACCGATGTTTTTCTTGAAAATTAACAGAAAAAAATTTGTAGCTCATTTATTAAGGGTTGTGCCGCAACGAGACCACCTGGAAACGATGTACAGATGACAAGGGTACACCACCCCGTATTCAAAATCATTTGCCGGTCCGTAGGAAAAGGGCCAAGTTCAAAAAACCGCTGTTTCTCTTGAAAATTAACAGAAAAAAATTTGTAGCTCATTTATTAAGGGTTGTGCCGCAACGAGACTACATGGAAATGATGTACAGATGACAAGGGTACACCACCCCATATTCCAAACCATTTGCAGGTCCGTAGGGAAAGGGCCAGAATCAAAAAACTGTCATTTTACCTAAAATTAGACAGAAAAAAAAATCGCCGCCAATTTGTTAAGGGTTGTGCCGCAACGAGACCGTCTGGAAACGATGTACAGATGACAAGGGTACACCACCCCGTATTCAAAATCATTTGCCGGTCCGTAGGAAAAGGGCCAAGTTCAAAAAACCGCTGTTTCTCTTGAAAATTAACAGAAAAAAAATTGTAGCTCATTTATTAAGGGTTGTGCCGCAACAAGACCACCTGGAAACGATGTACAGATGACAAGGGTATACCACCCCGTATTCAAAATCATTTGCCGGTCCGTAGGAAAAGGGCCAAGTTCAAAAAACCGCCGTTTCTCTTGAAAATTAACAGAAAAAAAATTGTAGCTCATTTATTAAGGGTTGTGCTGCAACGAGACCACTGGAAATGATGTCCAGATGACAAGGGTATACCACCCCATATTCAAAACCATTTGCCGGTCCGTAGGGAAAGGGCCAGAATCAAAAAACTGTCATTTTACCTAAAATTAGACAGAAAAAAAATCGCCGCCAATTTGTTAAGGGTTGTGCCGCAACGAGACCATCTGGAAACGATGTACAGATGACAAGGGTACACCACCTCGTATTCAAAATCATTTGCCGGTCCGTAGAAAAGGGCCAAGTTCAAAAACCGCTGTTTCTCTTGAAAATTAACAGAAAAAAAATTGTAGCTCATTTATTAAGGGTTGTGCCGCAACGAGACCACCTGGAAACGATGTACAGATGACAAGGGTACACCACCTCATATTCAAAACCATTTGCCGGTCCGTAGGGAAAGGGCCAAGTTCAAAAAACCGCTGTTTCTCTTGAAAATTAACAGAAAAAAAATTGTAGCTCATTTATTAAGGTTTGTGCCGCAACGAGACCACCTGGAAACGATGTACAGATGACAAGGGTACACCACCTCATATTCAAAACCATTTGCCGGTCCGTAGGGAAAGGGCCAAGTTCAAAAAACCGCTGTTTCTCTTGAAAATTAACAGAAAAAAAATTGTAGCTCATTTATTAAGGGGTGTGCCGCAACGAGACCATCTGGAAACGATGTACAGATGACAAGGGTACACCACCCCGTATTCAAAATCATTTGCCGGTCCGTAGGAAAAGGGCCAAGTTCAAAAAACCGCTGTTTCTCTTGAAAATTAACAGAAAAAAAATTGTAGCTCATTTATTAAGGGTTGTGCCGCAACGAGACCACCTGGAAACGATGTACAGATGACAAGGGTATACCACCCCGTATTCAAAATCATTTGCCGGTCCGTAGGAAAAGGGCCAAGTTCAAAAAACCGCTGTTTCTCTTGAAAATTAACAGAAAAAAATTGTAGCTCATTTATTAAGGGTTGTGCCGCAACGAGACCATCTGGAAACGATGTACAGATGACAAGGGTACACCACCCCGTATTCAAAATCATTTGCCGGTCCGTAGGGAAAGGGCCAAGTTCAAAAAACCGCTGTTTCTCTTGAAAATTAACAGAAAAAAAATTGTAGCTTATTTATTAAGAGTTGTGCCGCAACGAGACCACCTTGAAACGATGTACAGATGACAAGGGTACACCACCCCGTATTCAAAATCATTTGCCGGTCCGTAGGAGAAGGGCCAAGTTCAAAAAACCGCTGTTTCTCTTTGAAATTTAACAGAAAAAAAATTGTAGCTCATTTATTAAGGGTTGTGCCGCAACGAGACCACCTGGAAACGATGTACAGATGACAAGGGTACACCACCCCGTATTCAAAACCATTTGCCGGTCCGTAGGAAAAGGGCCAGAATCAAAAAACTGTCATTTTTTTGAAAATTAACAGAAAAAAATCGCCGCCAATTTGTTAAGGGTTGTGCCGCAACGAGACCATCTGGAAACGATGTCCAGATGACAAGGGTACACCACCCCGTATTCAAAATCATTTGCCGATCCGTAGGAAAAGGGCCAAGTTCTAAAAACCGCTGTTTCTCTTGAAAATTAACAGAAAAAAAAATTGTAGCTCATTTATTAAGGGTTGTGCCGCAACGAGACCACCTGGAAACGATGTACAGATTACAAGGGTATACCACCCCCGTATTCAAAATCATTTGCCGGTCCGTAGGAAAAGGGCCAAGTTCAAAAAAACGCTGTTTCTCTTGAAAATTAACAGAAAAAAAATTGTAGCTCATTTATTAAGGGTTGTGCCGCAACGAGACCACTGGAAATGATGTCCAGATGACAAGGGTATACCACCCCGTATTCAAAATCATTTGCCGGTCCGTAGGAAAAGGGCCAAGTTCAAAAAACCGCTGTTTCTCTTGAAAATTAACAGAAAAAAAATAGTAGCTCATTTATTAAGGGTTGTGCCGCAACGAGACCACCTGGAAACGATGTACAGATGACAAGAGTATACCACCCCGTATTCAAAATCATTTGCCGGTCCGTAGGAAAAGGGCCAAGTTCAAAAAACCGCTGTTTCTCTTGAAAATTAACAGAAAAAAAATTGTAGCTCATTTATTAAGGGTTGTGCCGCAACGAGACCACCTGGAAACGATGTACAGATGACAAGGGTACACCACCCCGTATTCAAAATCATTTGCCGGTCCGTAGGAAAAGGGCCAAGTTCTAAAAACCGCTGTTTCTCTTGAAAATTAACAGAAGAAAAATTGTAGCTCATTTATTAAGGGTTGTGCCGCAACGAGACCACCTGGAAACGATGTACAGATGACAAGGGTATACCACCCCGTATTCAAAATCATTTGCCGCTCCGTAGGAAAAGGGCCAAGTTCAAAAAACCGCCGTTTCTTTTGAAAATTAACAGAAAAAAAATTGTAGCTCATTTATTAAGGGTTGTGCCGCAACGAGACCACTGGAAATGATGTCCAGATGACAAGGGTATACCACCCCGTATTCAAAATCATTTGCCGGTCCGTAGGAAAAGGGCCAAGTTCAAAAAACCGCTGTTTCTCTTGAAAATTAACAGAAAAAAAATAGTAGCTCATTTATTAAGGGTTGTGCCGCAACGAGACCACCTGGAAACGATGTACAGATGACAAGGGTATACCACCCCGTATTCAAAATCATTTGCCGGTCCGTAGGAAAGGGCCAAGTTCAAAAACCGCTGTTTCTCTTGAAAATTAACAGAAAAAAAAAATTGTAGCTCATTTATTAAGGGTTGTGCCGCAACGAGACCACCTGGAAACGATGTACAGATGACAAGGGTATACCACCCCATATTCAAAACCATTTGCCGGTCCGTAGGAAAGGGCCAGTTCAAAAACCGCCGTTTCTTTTGAAAATTAGACAGAAAAAATAGTAGCTCATTTATTAAGGGTTGTGCCGCAACGAGACCATCTGGAAACGGTGTACAGATGACAAGGGTATACCACCCCGTATTCAAAATCATTTGCCGGTCCGTAGGAAAAGGGTCAAGTTCAAAAAACCGCTGTTTCTCTTGAAAATTAACAGAAAAAAAATTGTAGCTCATTTATTAAGGGTTGTGCCGCAACGAGACCACCTGGAAACGATGTACAGATGACAAGGGTATACCACCCCGTATTCAAAATCATTTGCCGGTCCGTAGGGAAAGGGCCAAGTTCAAAAAACCGCTGTTTCTCTTGAAAATTAACAGAAAAAAAATTGTAGCTCATTTATTAAGGGTTGTGCCGCAACGAGACCACCTGGAAACGATGTACAGATGACAAGGGTATACCACCCCGTATTCAAAATCATTTGCCGGTCCGTAGGAAAAGGGCCAAGTTCAAAAAAACCGCTGTTTCTCTTGAAAATTAACAGAAAAAAATTGTAGCTCATTTATTAAGGGTTGTGC